GGCCTTATGCTGTCACACATACACACACACAGTGGCTGCATGACTGGCAGGACTCTTGTGAACCACACTGTTTAAACAGATGATCTTGTGGTCTTTAGTCCTCATAGCGCTGGTCTCCCGCAGCGCCTTCATGCATGTTCTGCTTCTAGTGTGGTGATATCAGACATATCCAAATGATTGACTTTTGGTTTTGTTTGTTTGTTTGTTTTTATCCCGAAATAAAGCGAGCACTTGTACGCACAGAAAGGTTTTTGAAAGACAAAATTATGGGATTTGTGAAGCTAAACGTAATAAATGTTACGTGTGGTCAGATTGCTTCTTATTTGTGTGTGAATTGAAGTAATTATAATAAAATTGAAATTGCTTGTCTATTTGCCTAACAATTCCTCTTATTATGCCTTGTGGCAAAGGATGAAAATAGTAGTGCACTCCAGAGTGTGAATATGGACATTACTCTTATTTTTATTGCATAAATGGACAAGAGCGTGATAGTAAAGCACAACCTGTCATGCTTCCAGAATAGAAAATAACTGCACTATGCTGGCAACACAATTTTGGCTCTGTCAAAGCATCTGCACACAGACAGCATGCTAATGCTAACCTAGCCAAGAACCAAGAGTGATGTTAAAGCTGAGTGAATGCTGACCCCAGCAGCCAGACCCTGAACTTCAAAAGGTAACAAACAGAGGAGCAGTCAGACTGCAGCGTCTGTTTCTACCTGTTCATGTTTCTACAGAGAATCACCATCAAGATATCAAGATCGCATCTCTCTGTACTGGTTTTCATCTTTGCTTGGTGCTGTCGACTTTAAGGTTCATTCCTGAATACTAAGAGAAAAATTATATTTTTGTCCTCATTAGGACAGGGATTTGTGTTGGTGTGTGACTGTAACCTCAGGTTTGTATTGTTAAATGGAGATTATTAGCTTGTGTACTTCAGGTTATTTTATAGAGTAACATATTGCATTACTTTTACCAACACTGATCACAACAAAGAGGGAAAATATCTCCAACATGCACAAACATTTGATCACAGAGCATGGTGCTCTTTTTTGTGATAAATGTATTTTATTTACTTTTTAAATCACCAGTAGACCTTATTTTTGACCTTATAAACAACTTTTTTTAGTTTAATTTACAGTGGGGCAAAAAAGTATTTAGTCAGCCACCGATTGTGCAAGTTCCCCCACCTAAACTGATGACAGAGGTCAGTAATTTGCACCAGAGGTACACTTCAACTGTGAGAGACAGAATGTGAAAAAAAAATCCATGAAT